ACTGCCTCTCAATGAATTTACCTTGTAATATTTGTATCATGGATAGAATCATGTAAGTCTAGTTTATTTCGTTTTCAAAGAACGTATTTTTAAATAGTTAAATAAAGACTGTGAATTTGACAGACATACGCAATTACATATGTATTGAAAAAGTCACATTTACAGATGCGAATACATATCGTGTAAGAACACCTTAACCATCATTATGAGCTCAAACAAGTAAGAAAGTCTAAGTTCGGGTGGAGCCGAACATTAAATACCCGGCGCAAGTATTAAATATATATTTTTTCACCTTTCCGAAAGCTACCGCTAGATGGTAAGCCGGGGTGTATTAATTTTGAGTAAATTAGCGTCCTTAAATTTCAAAATATTGTAGTTTCAAGCATTTCTGAAATTTACGGTTATGTGAAAAGCGGCCGTAATTTTAGTCCGATTTCAATAATTTTCAACGTTTTGCTTTTATGTGGCAAGCACAATAGCCATACCGAGTTTGGTATAAATTGATAGAACGGTTACCGATATACATATATGTGATCATAAGTGGGCGGTGCCACGCCCATTTTCCTAAATTTTACCAAAAACGTATTTCTTGGTAAAGAATTGTTGCAGGCATCAATTTTGAATAAATTAGCGTTAATATTTACTGATTCATCGAAGATTTTGTATTTCTCTAAATTACCGTTATATGGGATGTGGGCGTGGTTATTGTCCGATTTTTTAAATTTTCGGCCATTTAGTATGCTGTATCAAGGCCAACAACTGTGCCAAGTTTGGAAGAAATCGGTGCAGCGGTTACCAAGATATACACATGTAACCATAAGTGGGCGTGGCTACGCCCATTTTCCAAAAAATTTGTAATATTCTTATTTTTCGTCTGAAAGTTATTGTAAATATCAATTTTGAGTGAATTATCTTCAGTAGTTACTAAAATATCGCTGTTTTCGTATTTCTGGAAATTACCGTTATATGGGAAGTGGCCGTGGTTACAGTCCGATTTAGCCCATTTTCAATACCAACCAACCTTGGATTAAGGGAAACCTACATACCAAATTTCGTTGAGATATCTCAATTTTTGCTTCGAGTTATCGTGTACACGGACGGA